AATAAATTTCATAAAAAATTTCAGAAATTATTTACATTTGTCGTCCTTTGGAGAAACGTTCGGTTCGAATTCCGAATTTTCGTCATTTTAATAAAAGAACGATTGTAGAGAATTTCAATATAATATTTAAAGAATATCAACGTATATCACAATTAAAATATTGAAGATCATGCACATAAAACGTTGAGAATAGATAAACGTTATGATTTCCAATCAAACTATTCAAAAAATGAAGTGGTTCGAAGCAAAAGAAGTTTCAATAAAACAAATGTCACCGAATATTTGAGAACGCTTGCCATTATAATTGAATTAAGAATTAACAAATTCTAAACATGTTCCCCTTTACAAGATAGGCAAAATTCAATGTTACATATTTAATTATTGCGATTTCTACTTTAATTACCCGGTAATGAGTATAACAATTATTTAATTATTTATTCTTATCATTTACAAAAATATATAATCAACTACAAAATAAAATGATCATATTAAAAATAGTCTTATTGAATCAAAGAGTTGAGATTCAAAAATTTAATGACAGAAGGGGTGAATAGACGAATTTAAAAGATATTTAATAAAATCTTAGAATTTTAAATAGAGTTAATCCAAATCGTTCAAATTTTATATGGAAAGCCAAAGAGAATGGGAAAATGATTGCAATTTCTATATTTATAAAAACTGCTACTACTGAAAAACCCTATAAATTCTAACATTATGTAAATTATAGTCAGCATGCCAGACTTTTATTTATTTTAATTTGCATAATATCGTGAGGAATACGCGTATAATAAAAAGTGAGTGCATAAAGAAGTCCAACAAAATCGAAAAAAAGAGAACAAACAATGTCAACTTCATTAACGTTCCTGCATATTATAAAATTTTAAAATGTTAAAAAAATTGACAAAAACTATTATTGCATTCCACAACAAGTCATAAAACATTGTGTAAATTTTGCCGTTGTTTCACAATTTTCTTTATACTTATACGTTTACAGTTTTACATAATGCAATACATTTATTCTTTTATATACTTAGTGTGCGTGTGTATTGGTTGTTCGATATGTTAACAATGTTTTTTTTTTAAATAAGTAAGAGATGAGAGGGAACAAAAACAAGGCAAAACCATTTGTCACCGGGTATCTTTGCACTTCACTGTTCTATAGAGCATATAATGGTTACGTTTTTCACGTTTTTTTTGTTCTTTTTCACAATTATTTGATGAAAATTGCTTCGATCGTTTTACTGAATGCTTCTCTTTTTTTTTCTCTTTTACCTTTATTTTATTGCTTTGAATTTTATTGTTCTGTTTTTTTTTGCTTTTGGGTTCTTTCTTCTCTGTTGTTGAATTACACAGGAGTTGCGTTACAAAATACGAGCGATCAAATGTGTTTTTATTCTCAAACGCTCTCGTGCGTTACAAATAAATAGCGTTTAAATTTTTTAATCGTTTTCCTTATCATTATATTTTTCCCGTTTTTTCACTCTTCGCCTCTATAAATTTTGGAGTAGAATTTTTCCGATTTTCTTTGATTATAAGATAGAAGTTCTTTTCTCTTTTTTTTTGTTTTTTAAAATCATACGCAAATATTTTGCATGTTTGCATGTTTTTCGTTTATTTAAAAAGAGTTTTTCATTTACAATTTTGTTAATTAATCAAATTGAAATATGGTTAGAGAAAATTCTTATATAAAGATAATTAAAATGCTCCAGAGAAATTATTTTTCTATCTTATATAATAGTTTTAATCTTCAATTAATTGTAGGGAATTTAAATATTAAGAAATAACGTTGGGTGTATTAAATACGTTTATGTCAAAAATTAGTAACATAATTGCTTGTTATAATTTTTTAAATAAATATAAAATTATTAATTGGGTATACTCTGAAGGTTTGCATTAAAATTGAAAAAATATTTTATCGCCATTTTAACTTGACATATTGTTTTTTATTTTAATTAAAAATTTAAATGAACTTGCGTTAATTATAAAAATTCTTGAAAAGGAAAAATAATTTTATTTAATGAAACCTATGACAGTGTTAATTAGCTTTCCTATGCGTATTTGTATAAGTATATAAAGGAGTTTTATTGAGTTTCAGTTAAACTATAAAAATGATGTACATTCAAACATTCTGAGGGCGATTAGATTATTCCAAGAAAAGATTACTTGCTTACTGAAAATCAAGTGCAATTTTTAAATTGAATCTGATAGTGAAAAGAAAAGGAGTAGTGGATTTCGAAATTTTTAATTTATGTCAGTCAAGAACACGAATTCAACTAGTAACGTATTACTGTCAACTCTCAAAAACACAATGTCAACTCATAAAATTCAAAAATTACTTTGATTAATATTTTACTCTTGCATTTATTTTTAACCTATAGAAAGAAATAATTCTCATTCGACAAAAATTTATTTATTTTAAAAAAATTGCATATTTTTGGGAGCTTTTTGCAATCAAACACATTTTAAAGCATTTTGCATTAATATAGTAATATAAAATCAAGTCAAAATAGAAAACAAGATTTCTTAATATTTCAGAATTAACAGTGTGCATCCTGAGAGACATTCTGAGAGTTTAGAGGTGTCACACATTATTTTAAACATACAATTGACACTATGAAATTACTTAAAAACAGAAACAAATTTTTACCGAGTATTTCTGACGAAAATGTGAAAGATCAACAAAAACCTTTTAATAGAATCCTGAATAAATAAAAATTTATTTTTTAAAATCTTGTACACTTCCAATATGGTACGACTCTCAATTATTTTAATAGATGAAAAATAAGCGCCACAAATTTTATTGTTTACCATATTACCATATTTAAGATGACCATGTTCTTTTTTGTATTTTAAATATTTAAATTTCTTAACAACTATTACACTTTATTTACAATGGTATAAAAATTGGTAGACCCATCCATCTAACATAAGTGTTTGTTAAAAACATGTTTTTGTTTTGTTTAAAGACAATATTCAAATGAAAAAATAAAAATCTTTGTTTTCAAATAAACAAGTCAAGTTCTCATTTTGTTTAAAAGTGTTAAACAACAATCTTTTAAAAAAAAAATTTAATATTTAAGGATATTGTTAAAATTTCGTTTGATTGTGTGTTTTAAATAGCCATTTACGATCACAGACAAGTGTTAAGTGGTTACAGAATTTTGTAAATTATTTTTAGGTTATAAATTTCACATTGTTTTATATACTTGAAATTTTTTATTGAAATATATAGTATTACAATTAGGTTACTATATAGGTATGCTTTAACCACTTCAGAGGCGACTAAATGCCAGGACTTTATGTCAAAAATATTATATTGTAAATATATATAGAAATATGCATAGTATGGAGACAGAATTCTTCGGCATAATAAGAAAAATTCAATAAAATTTTTCATGTTAAAGTTGGAAGTTTTAAGGGTATTTTATATTTTAAGAAATTTTTTAAAATTGTATACTGTGAGTATAGTTGAATTTGAAAATTTGCGCTGTATATTTCTTTATAACATAAGTTGAAAAGAATTCATGGTCTTAAGTGCCTCTTGATTACAAAAAAACAAAATTTTGTAGAATTAAACTGCAAAACATTATTCTGTATCTCAATCTTTTAATAACTTAAATGCTGAGAAAAATTGAGTGAGAATCCGTGTAATGCTATGTCCTAACTAATTCAAGTAATTTTCTAAAATTATGAGTGAGTTATGCAAAATTTGATTCTTAAATTTTATTGTATTAGAATATGTTCTTCGTATATTAGGCTGCTTCGTCCTTCGTAATAAGGGCTGCTGACAAGTTTTAAAATAAATAAAATTAAAACAATTCTCACTTTGGATTGAGCCAAATTTGTCATTGTCGAATTATGTTTTCTTAAGGCTTGAATTCTCCATTCAAATCTTGTCTTTAGGAGTAATAAGCTTTGATCAATAACTAAAGTAAATATTGTACTTTTCAATATTTATTAAAAAAGAAATTTTTATGATAGGGATTGGATTAACTTAACAACCTAAAGCCAAAATTTATATAATCTTTATATACAGTTGATTTTATTTTTTATAACCTTAAAAGTTGGTAATGTGCAGAAGCTATACGTACCTATTTACATCTTTTTATTGAATTTATTTAACTTAAAATTTACAATTTTAAATGCATACCAAAATTCCGGCGGAAAATTTATATATAATCACACAAAAATGAACTTGAATTTAACAAAGAAATTATATAACATTTAATTCTGACTAAAATAAATTGTTATATAATTTTCGAATTTGATAAAGATTCAGGTAAAATTTAATCGCGAAATTATAATTCACAAAAAAATGTTTTTTATTTTATCCATTTAAAAAAATTGCTATCTAAAACGATCGCAATAAAATTTTTTAATTAACTTAAAAATTAAAATATTTCGGAGCAAGTTCTAAAAATGAACTAAAAGATTTTAATATCTATAAAAATTTTGTAATAAAAACGCAAATAAGTAGGTGGTCCACATTAATTTTAAGTTGTTCAATGTAATTATTCAAATTATATTATTAAATAAAATTAACGTGACATTTTAACCCCAAAATGCCGATTAGCCGCAATTATACTTATTTCAACTTAATTTGGTACTGTGACCAAAGCAAAAATTCAATATATTAAACCAGTTTCGGAAGGGTGTTTTGCAGGTGATTCAAACATAATTTTTTGTATATTAAGTATTATAATTTAGAATAAAATCGGCTGTTATTGTAATTTATATGGAAATGATAAAAAATTAGACGATTTCATATGAATTTAAGAATGTGGATTCGGAGTCCGGTTCGAAATGTTATTTCGGATCACTCAAACTGAAAATCCAAACTCTAAAATGAGCATTTTAATGGATTAATCGAATAATTGTTTAAAATTATTTCTAAACTTTGCTTAAAAGGATTACTCTCTTTATTATAAGGTTATCATAAATCTAAGACCAAATTAAAAAATATTTTAGTAAAAATATAAAATATTTATAAAAGCACTTACCTTCCACTTTTTGTTATTATCATTTCAGTACCAATTTGATGAAATTGCTTCCATAAATCGATATTTTGTAATGTTGCATCAACACCGGGTAGTGTTACACGTGGTGGCAACATTATATGGCGTGGTATTGGCATTGGTAATAGTGGAAATGGATCTGGAAAAATACAAATAATACAAATGTACATATATTTTTTAAAGCACCTTTAGAAATTGATAAATTTTACACTTTATTTCTGATATACGAGTGGCTAGCAAAAAAAAACTACTCGATGACTTAATGAGCGATGATTTAATAAGAGGTCCTTATTCTATTATTATGACGTTCTATTGAAAACAATTTTTTCTTAAAGAGAGACAGAAACTATGAGTTTTTCTGCGTATTCAGCCTATAGAAATAATAATTATATAACTGAAACGGAAATTAATTTTGTTCCACTTTAAAATTACTCCATATGCGTGTAATAATACCTTAATACAGAATTCAATTAATCAAAATTTGAATAATTTGAGTTGATACCGATTGTAAGAAAGCCAAGTTTATTAACACCGCAAATCTCATATTTAAATTATAAATACATTCTAGGTAATGAAATGATGACGTGAAAGTGTTTATCTCACATTTTACAGCAAATAGAATTTATAAATAAAGAAACCAATCACAATCAAAACAATTTACATAAAAAGAAAGAGAAACCTATACCGTAGAATCCCAAAATAATGAACACTTAATGAAAAATTCATTTAGCAATAAATTTACTTTATTAGTTTTTAATGCTCCCTAAATTACGAATTCTGATATCTGACATTATTAAGGTGTAGGATAATATCAGTAATATTTACATAATTACTCGTAAATTTAGATTATCCAGCAATTAAATCTACATTGTATAAAATTAATTAACCTTTACATAAGTTAATTAAAAAGTTTCCGACAGCAGCAAAAATTTTTGTTGGCAATTAATATTTAAGAATTTATAACTGCCATTTTGCAAGCGAAATAACTTTTCTATGTACACAACTTAATGGAAATTTTAAATTAAGTGAGATTTTTTACAAACGATTAAATCAAAACGGCGCAATTTTGACGTATTTCTTATATAGCTATATTATTTGTACATAATTTCTAAATTTTTAATTAATCTTTTTCGGCAGCTCTTACAAATTGAATCATCAAACGGATTGCAGATTTAGTTCAATTACCAACAACACTCAATAAATTGAGTAAACATTCAATGACATTTCTAATTCCAATTTGCCTATAATGGCAATATCAAAAAACTAAAGTAAAAGGAATTATCAGAGCCCTATTGCGCGCCAACAATACCTTTTACTTTTTTTTCTATACCTTTTAATTTAAAACACTACACTAAACTACATACTAATGAAAAAGATGCTCCTTTAAAAAATTAAAAAGCAAATGCAAAAGTAAAAGTGAAAGTGAATGGTTGCAATAGGAACTAGATCAACATCAATTTTGAAATTCTTTAAGTAGTTATTTATAATAGTTCTAATTTTATTCAACAACTAAACAACTAAAAGATGATTGCTAAAAGAGAAGTAGCATATAAAAATACTGAATTGCCGACGGTAGCTATAAGAATTTAATGTGGAAATACGAAAATATTTCCGGAAAAATAACTAAAAAGTTCAAAAATTAGATTTAAAATTTGTCAAGCAATAACAATAACAATTAGATTTTTTAATTAAAGGTAATATTCAAAGTTTTAATACCTGGTATTCTTTGCATAATTTGCTGACGATAAATTTCATGCGCAATATGTTGCTGCATTCTTAAATCCACTAATTCATTCATTGTAATCATTTTGGTGTTTTTAATTTTTTAATTTTAACTGTTATATAAATAAGTACAAATATGTTATGTATAACAAATATATGTATACCACTTAATTAAGTATGTAAGTATATTTCTTTATTATGTAATTATTTTTATTTATTGCAGTAATCCTTTTTTACTAATTGATTTCTTTTATTTGTTAAATTTTATGATTTTTATTAATTTCTTAATTTTAGTACACCTGTTTAATTTTTTTTCAAAAAAAAACACGTTTTTTTCTTAAATTATTTTTCTTTATTTATATTCGTTTAATATTAAACTATACAGACATGCATACAAACATGAGTATTTATTAATTTTTATCTAAGATAAATGAGAATTTAATGTGCATTTTTATCTTACTTAAAATCATGATTCTAGAATTCCCTTACTTTATAAATTGGCATTTTTTAAAATATTTAAAACTTTAATATTGTAAAATAAAAAAATATTTAATTATTGTGAAAATTTTTCTAAAATATTTTAAAATTTTTATTATTCTTTTCTTTTTTTCGCTCTTTTTTGTTTTCGATCGGACTTTAAACGAACACCTCTCTACAATACGAGTTTACTTTAAGAACTGAACTGGTTTTAAAACAACGATTTTGAAGGCAGGTTCATCTTCACATTCTTTTCAAAATAACAAAAAAAAGGTTAAAGTGAAAAATTTTTAGAAAGCGTTGTTGTTGTTCTGTTCGTATGTATTTGTTATTACCCCGTTTGCATGTATGTTATTTGTGGTAGAAGAAAAGAGACATTGGATTTGAACGAAAACTTATACGATATAAAAATTTTACAAATACAAATAAAAAGAATTTTTATCAACAATTTTATTTTTTTCTTAATTATTTTAATTTTATTTTCCATGTTATATATAGCTAGATAGCTTAAAACTGGATTAAATCTCAAATATACTTGCATGATTGTAGTTGTAAAGTACGTATTTTATAGGGTAAATGTGCTCTCATCCTTCATTTATGTTTGAATGCTCTTTTTTAGCAGATTGTTGTTGTTGCTTTTTTCTCTTTTCTCTTTTCAATTATTTTTTTAGTTTTAATATTTTGTAAATTTTACAGATATGTTTTGTTTACTTTTAACATATTGTTCGTTGTTGTTTGCTTATTTGTTTTATTGTTTCCCTTTATTGTTTATCAATCATATTTTTATTTGTGTTTAAAATGTTTTTCTTTTTTTTGCGTGTATAATGAAGATCAAAATGGAGAAAACCACAGAGAAGTTTTATGTTTTTTTTTTGATTTATTACTGGCCTTGCATAAGAAGAATTGTTTTTTTATTTAAAATTTATTTCAAATACTTTATTTATTATAAGTTGTATAAGACATGAAACAAAATTTGTTTAAATTCGAAAAAAAAGGTTAGAAAATTTTAGAATTTGTTACAATCAAATAAAAATTAAATTTGAAAAAAAAATAAAATTTAAATTTTAGGAAAATGTTTTAAAAAAAATGTTTAGAAAAAGTGATACTTTAAGTGATCAAGTATCGTTTCGTAATCATTGTATCTAAAATATATTAAAATAAACTTGCTTGATTGATTTAATATTTGATGGCAGTTTGAAATATAAATAGGCATAGATAAATCTACATAAATTTTGCGTGATATGCAGAAAATAGATCGCCATACATACAAATAGAAAATACATGTAGAATTTTTTGATATGCAAATCCTGCCAAAAGATTTATCGAACACATATACATATTAATGTAGGTATTTTGAAATTCATTCCAATTTATTTCAAAATATTGTAAGTTTACATTATAGCCGCCTTAATTTATGCAATTATGAATAAAGGTTTTACAATTGATTTAAGAAAGAAAGATCAATTTTCTCGTTACAATATTTAAATTTTAATGGCAGATCTAATTAATTTGAATGTTGCAACTAAAGATGTACTGAAATCGAAATTTTTCAAGAGGCAGGGTTTTTTATCAAATCACTAATCAAATTAAATTTTAATAATATCAAAAAGTAGCCACTCAATGGAGTATTCATTTCATACAAATACCATATAGAAATAGTAATTTCCTATACCCTATTTCAATAAAAACTGTTAGAAAACTAAAAAAAAATATTATAGTGAAAATCACAAATAATGAAAAGCAATAAATACTTCAGGAAAGCAAAAATATTAAAAGTAACACACACGCTGAAACTCTTATTATTATAAGTATGCAAACACATATTGTACATATGTACATATATACATATATATATATAAATATTTACATAATTTGTACAACTTTTTTATCACATTTTCCATTGAAACCTGCAAAAGTATAATAAGAATCACAAGAAAATAAAAACTGGTAAAAACAGATATACTAAAACACAATATTGGTTAAAACTCTGCTACAAAATCGCTACAATTAAAAGAGAGCAAAAAAATATGTGAGGGAAAAAAATATATTTCTCTCATATTAATACCTTCAATCTATCTCTTTCTTTCTTTAAAAGATCACTAAAAATCATATTTCTTTTGTTTTTGTTTAATATGGAGAAAAATACAATAAAAAAAGAGTAAAAACGAAAAAAAATGTGAGAGATAAAAATATAAATAAAATAAAATAAAAAAAAAAATAGGAGTAGGAGAGCACCTAACGGAGAAGGCGTAATCTGTTATTTACCAGAAATTATATTCATATTTATAGATAAATTTGTTAGAAAGAGAAAAATATATTTACAAATTTCTTATTTATCTCATTCATTTCGCTTTTGTATTACCACTACTTTGTTTGGGTGTACGTACGTGAAGATTGAATTAGTGTAAATTTAATATTTTGTTGCGTGTTAACAATCTGCACAAAATTTTATTATTTAACCAATCAAATAGCGTTATACAGCAACAGGTTTTTAATTTTTGGATTATTAATGCAAGGGTGATTAGAAGCGTTAAGATCAACGCCAATTGGTTAAAAAAGGCGATTATATCATAAAGTTAGTTAGTGTGTGTTACATTTATTTTATTGAAAATAATCAAAATTTCTTCATTTTGAAAAAAAAAAAGTGATATTTTTAATTTAACCAGGGCTGTAGAAAATCCAAGCTGTTAATAATTTTGCTTTTATATTTGTAGTTTATACAAATTTTATATTTGTGTAAGAATTTCGGCATTTTTGAAGTTATGCATGTATGTGTATGTATAAGGTTAGGTAAGAAATTCGATTAAATAATTTATCGGATTATAATTTAATATAAATTTTTTTTTTGCTTTTATATACAAAGATACTTAAAATAAAATAAAACTCCACCTAATTTAAATGATATTCAAAAAATTAGAAATTTTTCACTTTTAAACAGTGAAAAAAAATGTGTTAAAATTTGCTTGATTATTATTTTTTTTTTTGTAAAATAAATTTTTTAAATTAATTAATTATACTATCAGATTTTAAACAGATGCGCAAAGTAGTGAGAGAAAGAGAGATGGAGAGAGAAAGCTATATGGAGCGAATAATATTGCTTACGGTATTTTATATACGGTTTTATATAAATCAATGAATGAGAAATTATTTTATTGAATTTTGATTATCTTCTTCTTTAATGATTTAATAATTATGTAATTTTCATTATTTAAAAATTATTTAATTAGGTTAAATTTCAGTAGTTCAGTATTAATGTTTTATTGTGAATTAATCATAAAATTAATTAGTACATTAATTATATACGGTATTCATCATGATAATGAGCTTATAATAATGACCTAAAAATCTCAGTAATAAATAAATAACTTGTGAATTTACGCATTGATAAATTAGGCACATTTTGTTTATTTATAAGTGTATAATTGATAATGTTATCAACCGGTATGATCGGTAAGAATAGCATCTGATGTAACAATTTATGCTAAAAACTATTGCAGATCAACTTTCGTGTACAACTTTTGCATACGACCGGTTGACAACTGCTTAATAAGCAAATAGTTTTCAATTTGAATATTTTTAGGACTAAATTTCATTAAATATAAAGTTAGATCAAACCAATGATTTGTAATTTAGCAATTTTCCCTTCAAAAAGTGAAAATACTGTTTTTAGGACCAATCGGCTATGTACTATGTTATTAAAATTACTTCTATTTAAAAAATTGCATGCTTTTAAAATTTGAAAAAGCTTACATAGTTTCAAAAATATAAGGTGCCAAAAATTAAAATTTTATAAATTTCTTCAGACAATAACTTTTGCAAAATTTTTCTAATGAAGTGCACCTAGTTGTTAGTGTCTAAAACTTCTAAAATTTCAGACTCCTAAACCTTTCGGTCTAGAAGAAAAACGATATCAAAAATTTGCTAAAAACAGGTTTTAGGTAACGGTAAATTTTAACAGCGATTTTGTTTTCTTAAAGTTCTATTATAGTATGGCTCGGTAGAAGAAGCCGGGCACTATTTTTGTGCGCTTGCACAATTTTTAAAAATGTTTACGGTTTCTCTGTAATAAATAGTTGAAAAATGGAATTTTAAGTGGTTTGTGTGACCATAACTTTTACAGGGGGGAGATACGTAAAAATTTTGTCCTGCAGAAATAAGTTTCCAGTATAGATCTATGTACGTATCAAATCTGAGCTTTCTATCTTCAATGGTGGTAAAATTTTGTAAACATATCCACGGACGAACGAATGGATGGACAGAGTGAAACTTATAAGCACCTTTTTTTCAGAAGATAAGCAAAATTTTTTGGAAAAGTGCTAAAAAATAAACTTATCTTGTAAATAAATAAATGTAGACATCTGGTGAGAACAATAAAAGCTACAATAGTTTTTTTAACTGCAATTCTGATTAAAATATAAAAGAATTCAACGGGAATTTTACATTATCGTTCACACCTTATTATTCTAATTTATGTATCATTTTTGAGCGATTTCCAAAAAAACAAGTTAGAAAACAAGAAAAGGGCTCTTGCTGTATTCTAAAATAACCAGACATGAAAACCAAATTTGCAAAGTTTTAACTAAAAAAGTTTCAGTAACAGTGATGAAGTTTTGTAAAAATTAAAAATATTCAACCAATAA